AGTCTAGATTATGATTCTTACACTGATACAGCAAGCCACGTATTAAGATCTGATCTACAGAGGGTACAGGTGATTAGAAATATTAAGTTAAGTTGTATTACAAATTCTGTATAGCTCAGGTGATTAGAAATCTTAAATAATATTATATAATCTGTATTACGCTACTTAGATTGTATGACATTGATTCTGCCTGTAGAAACCCTGTGCTATTCTCATAATAAATTCTGTACTATACTAATCATAATTTCCTGTTAAGAAAATAAAGTTGTAACTACAATTTAGTGCAGTCATCATTCTGCCAATGATCCCTAAAAGGAACAGTCCGTCCTCTCGTTGTAGGGTGACTGCATGAAAAGAGAGTAATTTGCTTACCTTTTTCTCTAGGGCCTTCTGTGTTAAAAAAGAATCTTCTCTTATCTTCAGGCCAGTTCAGTCTCTCTTCCAAGTGCTCTGTTATGTTCAGGTAGGCTTCATCTAGGCCCATAGGCAGAAAATTGGGATCATATTCAGCCAGGATTTCTCTAACCTTGATAAACAGGTAGTGAAAGTTTTAAGCCTTTTTTCTGTAAGAGCAGATCTTGACACACAATTATGAGGTGAACAAACTTCAAGATGACCAATCAATATTAAAGATATTTATAGAACAAATCACAGGAATTAAAATGCTGCTTTTCAGAAGTAGTAAGGTATCAATAAAAATTGAGAACTAAACAAAATTTGAGCAGTTTATTTTACTGCAGAGGTCATTAAGATCAATGTATAAGGACCCCACAGACAACAGGTTCACAGTCATAGCAGTAATCACCTGAATGAAGCTCTTGCATCATGGGAACTCAGCAAAGCACATGAGCTGATGCACTCTGTGTCAGACATCATGTTTGCAAAGGTAAAAAAACCCAACAACAATCAAACAAAACCCACAAAACCTAAATGACTGAAGTTTAAAATTACACCCAAACCAAAGTTACAGTCAATGTTTTGGAGCACTGCCTAATGCCACAAGCAAAACTTCTTAGAAAAATCTTTACTGGTAAGTGCATCTTCCCGAAATGTGACATAACAAATGAAATGGTCAAAACAAAATCACTGCCTTTTCTCCTTTTTCCATCTCTCTTTTTTTTTTTTTTTAAACAAGGAGAAAAATTTGACTGTGTCATGTTTTCTGTAGCAGTTTTGGTCAAAGTCCTAGGTATCACAAAATTTGTTCACATGCACTTCATCTTTCTGAAACTGATTAAAATTAGGATTCACTGCTCAACTTTTAATGACAAAATGAAATAAATCTAAGTATTTTCAATTCAAATCTCAACAGAAAAACTAAAACCCTAAATCAACCTGAAACTTTAATATTTTACCCCATCAAACAAGAAATTAAATACATATAATGAAATCCAAGATTTTTAAACCGATTCTGAAGTATTTATGTACTCTTTTTTACAACAGAAGTGAGAAAAATCAAGTAAGATCAAAATTATTAATTAGCTTACATTATTTATGTGGAGAGGCTAAGGCTTTATAAAAATAAATAAAGAGATCTTGGTGTAATTTTATGGAAGTCAAGAGACTTGTGCCATGAACCAATTTCATTTAATACTTACAAAAGGTCTTCTACTATTATTTTTTTGTTTGATTTTTTCTTTTATTTAAAAAGTATTTTGGGTATCCTAAGTACTTCTCCTGACAGTAAGTAAAATTCTGTTAAAGTGTGATTTCTTTTTGCCCTGTTTTTTTCCTCTTTATTTAAAGTCCCTTCTTCTAAAACAAAGGAATGTGCATTTAGAGCTCACTAATGCTCTTTGCTTCTCTCTCCAGTAATTATAATTCAAAATGATGATTATGCTCTATATGAAATTCTTCTCTCCATGTTTCTATGTATTTGCAGCCTCCTAGTAATTAGATTATGTTTCACAGGTTTTTTAAGGGTATTAAGGCTGAGGTAGCATCACTAGCTCACTACATAGTTTTGAAAGTCTCTTACCAGAATCACTACTGACTTCCTTAAAATGGCAAGATGTGTGAATGCAACACTATTTGATCTCCTTGCCCAAAAGTACCAATGCTTTCTTTAACTTACGTTCAAAGACACATTACTGTTTAATATTTAAACTACCACTTCTTATATTATCTAGAACTGATGTACTGGTAAGAGTCTAAACCTGAGTACTCTGACTTTTGGTTAGAGAGCACTTTCAGACTTACCTCTTTACTCACTTTGCCGTATTTTTCAAAGTTTAATGGTACGATGGTTAGATGCGGACATAGCTTTTTAGCAATAAATCCAGGCATGGCTGCACGTACACCAAATCTCCTAGCATGGTAATTTGAGGTGGACTTAGGAGAGATTAAATAAGATTAGTTTTAATAACCAAGTTTTTCATGAAGTTTAGTGTTAAATAATCAATTTCCGACCATGTAAACTCCATGCAGAACACACTGAGAGCTTATATGCATCCTCCCATCCTCCCCTTCCACCTTTCCATACATTTACATTTTTTAAACTTTTATCAGAACACTTTTTGCTGAAAAATAAAATCCAGCTTACATGGTGTAGTCTAAGAACAGATGCTTCCTCTACTATTTTTGTTATATTTTCCACAGTTACAAAAATTCCCTATATAACAGTGTAGTATTATGTTATGTTGTAAGGTTCATTAGGCTTCAGCTTCATGTAATTGACTTCTGTATTAGCCTGACATTCGGCCTTACCAACATACTCATTGATCCCACTGCTATAGGCTTTTCCTTCAATTCTGGATTGTCTCTCATTTCCACAGCTGCATAGAAAGCATCCATGTCAATGTGTACAATCGTACTGCTAAGGTTACGGCTCTGTTCCAGTTCTATTACAAGTTTGTCTACCTGAACAGAATAAACCAATAATAGAAAAACTATTAACCTGGCAGAAGTGCAGCAGCACAGATGATCCTAGAAAACTCAAAGGATCCAACATACAGTTAAAAAAACCCCAACAAACCAAAATCCCATCAAACAGGTATCAGCCAAAAACAGCCAACCAAGTTTCAGATGAAATTGCCCTCAAAGAGGGCAATTGCAGCAAATGATATGGAAAAAAACCCCCCAAACCTAATGAAAACAAAACATAAAACCCACGACACAACCAGTAACAAGATCCCACCTATGTAAATAAAAAAAAGATACACCGATTCAGACAGAAACTTTGTAAAACGACTGAATATGCAGTTTTATCTAGTGTGACATAGGTTATTTTAAAAAATTGAAAACATGCTATTACAGAATATCCAACACTCCTAAATTAAGCTATCACACTTCAGAATATTGGCCCAGACAGGTGAAGAGAAGACCAACAGCTCACAGTGCAAATCCATGTGTCTTGTCTTGTCAGAAATAAAGTCACAAACTTAGAGGTTCATTTACTGCCAATCAAGCTACTGTTAATCATTTCATAAAATTCCTCACCATTTGTTACAGGAATCCATATCATATAAGGCTGGATTGCTAGCAAACCTTTTTTTTTTAAAAGAAGTCCATATACAGGAAGAGTGTTTCATTCTAACAGTTAAAGATATATCATTTAGTAACAGCTTGTGAGCAGTACTCCTGCTTCATCAGCTTCATGGGGTTGTGAGGCAGGGACCAAGCACAGAGAATCACTCCATGAAATACTTTAAATGTGCTTAATTTGTTTGCACTCTTTCACCAAAAGACTTGCAGATCATGTGCTTCTTTCTGAATATCTTCCAACTATGAATGAGGTATGAACCATAAGTGTCACCAGAACACATAAGTACATGATCTGAAAGGCAATTTTTAAGACGATTTAAGATTACTATGTTGGCAGTGCCACACATCATTCTAGAAGCAGAAAAAAAGAGAAAATATTAAAAAAAAGAGGGAAGTGCTATCAAACTATGTTTAACCACACTAATGACTATACTAACCACTATTTACACAACAAAGGTTGCTACTGCTAGGAAAAAAAACCAAACCACCAAACAACAAATATGCATAACAGAGCTCAAGAAAAGCAAGTAGTGAAAAAGAATCAAAGTTTCACTTTGCTTGCAAGCACAAGGACACATACACATTCATGACATCAAGGTATTATTACAGAAACGTCCCTGGATTGACTGCAATGGGTTTATAATCCTGGAGAGGAATATTTACGTGCAATCTGCATGGTTATTTCAAGACACTTTCTATTTCCCCTCAACAGAGCTGCTTAATAAAGAATACAAAAACCTCATCAAAACACCCATCTTTGGAGCTGAAGGCACTTGAACTGGCTACGAATGTTGTGATCAAATTGCTGTGTAATGGCTTACAAAGTCTTTTTTTCTGTTGTGTTCCAAGTTGATTTAAGGGTTGAAAGGTTAGAATGAGGCCTCAGAGAAGGCTGTTACATACAGAAGAGCACAGAATGCTCCCTGGGGCTGAGAAAACCTGTTTAGACAAATTACAAGCCAGCTGGCCTTGCTGACACAGGCCAGGATGCCACTGGCCTTCT